CGGACCCCCCTCCGCCCCCCGGGCCCTCCGCACCCCTAGGGGCTGCGTCCGCCGAGCTCGGGCCTCTTCCCGCTTCCTCAGCCCCTGGCCCGCCCCGCCCCTCACGGGGCCCGGCTCTGTGTCTCTGGCCCAGCCGGCGGGGATGGAAAGCCAAGGGCCATGGGGGGGCTGTGCCGTGACAGCGCCTCCCCAGGGACTGCCGCAGGCTCTGGGTCAGGGCCCGGCTGCTGGATGGTCTCCCCGCTCCCCTCTGACCCACCCGCCCCGGTTCATGTCCGGTTGTTGTGGCCAGGGGCATCCTGGGTTGTTGCCTGCAGAGTGAAGCGTGGGATGGGCTCCAGGTGCTGTAGGTATGGTTGGATCCTGTCCTTGTGCGTGTCAAACCTCCCCTCCCGCACTTGCTGGGAATGCGGTGGGAGACGGGCCCGCTTGTGTGCCTCTGAGCGACCCGGGGCAGTGCCTGGCCTGCTCTGGTTAGACACACAGGCCAAGACCCGGTTTGTGTGTGTGTGTGTGACTGTGTAGGAAGTGGTCTCCCTGTTGCAGGGTTTGACTGCCGTCAGTGCTCAGCCTCGTCCCATCTCACAGCATTCGGTGACTGTAGCGCCGGCTTAGGACGGGGCTCTCCGGGCTGGAGGGGTGGCCAGGACCTAAAGTCTGTGTCACCCTGGGCACCTGCATCAGTTGAACCGAAGTGTGGATTTAAACTGACTGACGGTGGTGCCAGCTCTGGGCGGCGCTGGTTTGTCTGGTTCTCTCTTCGGGTTTTGACGGGGGAGCAGGTTTCAGCTAAACCCAAGTGTTCCCACAGGTTTGCTCTGGTTCAGTTACAGGGATCAAAAGCTGGGTCTGAATGAACCGTGCGGCCTGGGCAGAGCTGACCCCAACTTGTCTGGGGGGGTCACCCAGAAGCCTAGCCCCCCAGGAGGTGCCAGTTGTCAGGACTCTGCCGTGGAGTCTGGTCCTGTGTGCTGGGGTTGCGCGCCCTGCAGTGGCCGTTGTCCCAGCCAGGGACCCTACGCCCGAATCTCTGGGAGGGGCGCAGTAGGGGAGATTGCTCTCAGCCCAGCTCTGCCTGGCTCCCAAGCTCTGTCTGTGCTCCTGTCTCATTGCCTGGTTCCCTCTCACCCCTGTAGGCCTGGGGCTGCAGAACCCTTCCTGAGCCCATGGGTCTCACAGAGCCCCTCTGTCTGTGTCCCGGCCCCGTGGGGTCGCTGCTCCGACTCCATGGTACGGTGCTGTGGGAGCAGAGCAAGACGCGTTCCCTGCAGGAGGGGGACGGACCAAGTCAGCGTGAAGTCCTCACCGTATCTCCTCTCCCCGTGGGTCCGGTCAGCTGCGTTGCAGCATTCTTCAGGGCATTGATCGGGGCTGGGCGCAGGGCCGTGTGGCTGCCTTGTGACTCTCGCGGCTAACCGGATTAGTCTTGCTGCTGCTTCCTGGCGCTCTCTTGTCAATTGCTGCCCCTGGAAGCCAGGCTTGGCTTGGCTGGGTTGTTCCCTGCCCCTGTCGTGGGCCAGCTGGGATTCTGGCTACCGGGTCTTCCACCGGCTGGGTCCTGGTGCGAAGGCGGATCTGCCCCAGCCAGAGGTGAGGCAATAGAGCCAGTGGGCGACTTGCTTTCCTCCTGGCTGTATGCCATCCCCAGCAATGAAGAGAGAGCGTGTGGGCTGGAAGCGTTGTCTGGGGGTCAGGAGATGGGGGTTATTCCTAGCACTCCTTGCGGGGAGCTGCCCATAACCATGTGTGTCTGGGGGGCTTTCAGATGGGAAGAAGTTCTGAAAGGCAGGGAAGGTTCTCCAGCCAGGAGATGGCAGAGGCCCCGTGCCCCGAGCACCTATCGCCGCTGGGCAGCAAGGAGCACTTGTCAAGCACCATAAGAAATGTGTGCAGCTGAGGGCCTGGTGCTGTGGGGCTTGGGGTGTGTGTGGGGTCCTGCTTTTCTAGCCCCCCTTGGCCCAATGCACTCTCCCAGCCCTGTCCTCCTCTCTGCTTTTCCTGGGATCCCGAAGCACTCCGCAGACAAGGAATGAAGCAGGTAGATCAGTGTTATGCCGTTCTGCAGGCGTAGAAGGAAAGGGACTCGTACAGGGTCACCCAGTGAATCAGTGGCAGAGCCAGGAGCAAAACTGGCCAGAGTAGCACTGAAGTGCAGCCACCTCTGGGGTGGAGGGCCACAACGCACCGTCCTGTGTGACGGATGAGTGGAGGGGAGCTTGAGGATACCAGGGAAAACCTTACTAGAGAGGGGAAGTGCCCCCCGGGTGTCCTCTGGCACTTGAGCGCACAAAGGGCTGAGCTGGACCTGATGGGATTCGACCCTGTGGCTCCAGGGAGTCCGACTTTTACACCTGACGCTCAGGCTGCCTGGCCATCCCCTCCCAGTGATGGGGCTCTATGGGAACTTGCACCTGGGCAGAACCTGGGCAGGGGACACAGCGGTCCTGGGCCCCCAGCCTGTGCTGCCGCCGGTCCCAAATGGCTCCATTCGCGGGGCTCGTGGTGGCATGGGGCCGAGGACAGTGGGGCGACTGGCTGGCCCCTGGGTGCGGGGTTTGAAGTGCCACTGCTAAGGGAATGGAGCTGCTCTGTCCTGTGGGGGGTGCTCTGTCTCGTGCTGCTTTGCTGCCCTTCCTTTCCCGCCCGCGTCTCCTCCTGGGCCCCTCGTTCGGGCCCCTGCTGCTGGCGCCGGCTGCTGTGTGTGCAGCATTGAGCACATGTGTGCTGCTAACAGACCCCGTGGTGCCCACTCATCTCTTCCCCTCCCTCCCGCGGCTCAGGGCAGAGCAGGGCTCTTCCCTCCGGCACGCTACGCTGCCTAGGACTTTGCCCAGCCTGAGCCCCGTCCCTGCCACGGAGCCTCTCCTCCCCTCTCTGCAGTGTCCCAGCTGGCACGGCAGCAGGGCTGGCAGCGGGGGGGCTGTGGGGCGAAGGGCAGGGGCCCCGTGCTGCCTGGGGGCCGTCGCGGCCGTGCACCACTTCCTGCTTGTGGTCCCACCCCGGGAAGTGCCACCCACTGAAAGGGGGCCCGTGACTGAGCTGCTGACACTGCTTGGCTCTGGCCTGGTCCCGAGGAGGGCGGGGTACTCATGTGCCCTGCTGAACAACCTGCTGCCGGAACCGTGGGAGGCTGCAGCCGGCTGCTCCCAGCTGGCTGTCCCTCCGCCCCCTGCCTGGCTGCTTGAACCCCTCCCCAACCAGCGGAGAGCAGGGTGCACAGCTGTGGGACCTGGGGAGAGCCCCTTGGGCTGGGGGGGGTGCTGACCGTGCAGCTCATGGGTGCCTGGCTCGGGGGCTCAGCCCCTTACTTGGTGCACTGGGGCAGGAGTCACTGGCTGGCATGGGACGGGAGCCCCCTCTCTCCCCTGCCGGAGCTGCCGGGAACTCAGGGCCCTTGAATCTCGCCTGTGCAGCTAGAGCGAGGCCCTGGGGGTGCTGAGCCCTGGTCCCTGAGCTCCCTCTGTCGCTGCCAGTGCCCCGCCACGTGCTCCTGGGATCCCGACGGCTGCTGCCCTTGATAACCAGCCCTGGCTCCTCGCCCCAGGCTCCACGGCTCAGACCTGGCACTGCCCCTGAGGCTCCCTCCCTTTCCCGATGCTCCGACCCCGTCCCCCTTCCATCTGCTGTAGTGCTCTGGGCCCTCCGCTGCCCCGGCGTGTGCCTGGCGCTGTGTGGGGGAGGTGCTGGGGGCTCTGCCCTGCGCCGGACGCCAGGGGCTGCTGGGATGGGGCCCAAGGTTTACACCTGCCATGGCCGAGCCGGTCAGTGGGTGGCAGGCAGGAGCCAAGCCGGTCTCCTCACGGCAGCTGCACGCAGCAGGCCCGTGCCAGGGAAGGGTGCGCCAGGCTTTGGCAGGTTGGAGCAGGTCCCAGCGTGGGGACGAGGATCCTGCGCCCGTGCGAGTTGGTATGGGCTGGGGCATGTTCACATCACCCCAGCCTGGGCAGCACTGGCCGTGCCATGAACCCGCTGGGGCTGGGCCGGCTCTCTGCAGGTCTGGCTGTGCCCTGGCCAGGGGTCTCGGTGCCCAGGGGGCGGCCCAGCATGTGTCACTCGCCTGCACCTGGGGGTGGGGTGGGCAGCTGCTGGGGCGGGGACTCGCCCTCGGACGTGGACCCACGTGGCTTCACTCACCAGGGGTTCAGTGACTCATGGGCCAGTGGCCCTGACGTCAGGAGGCAGCTGCCTCTTCCTGGGGTCCCCTGCCAGGGGGCGGGGGGCAGCGTCTGGGGCAGAGCAGGCCGTGCCTCTAGCACTGCTCCTGGGCTCTGGCTGGAGAATGGGGCAGCCCCTGACCAGGGCCAGCTGAGTCCTGATGCCCATCTCCCAGCCCTTCAGGTCCTGTGGCTGGACCCCAGTGGCGCCCATGTGGGGCGTGATCTTCGTACATACCCTCCACGGGGACGGCAGTGAAGAACGGGGGTTTGTCATGGGGATGTCCAATGGACTGACCAAGGCAGAACCCCCGTCCCCGCAGCAGGCTTGTGATGCCCATGTGCCAGGGGGGTTTGGAGCCTGGGACGCTGTAGCAGGCCTGGAGCAGTTTGGTTGCAATAGGTCAAGGTGGAGATGGATCCCCCAGCCCAGGAGCGTGTGTCCTGTCTGCTCCCCCCAGAGCCCTGGCATCTCTGTGGGGTGGGGCCTGGGCAGGGCTCCTGCTGTGGTGCCTTCTCCCTGGGTATGGATCCGGCCCTGCTGCCTGCCTTGTGGGGGGTGAGCAGAGCTTTGTGGCAGGTCCAGCCCCTCCGCTCGCAGGGGGTTCTCCAGGGTGGACTCCAGCGCCAGGCCTACAGCCGATGTCGCTGGCAGAGCAGCACCAAGGCCTCTGGGTGGTGAGCGAGTCCCGGGTGGAGCTGTGTCCTCGCCTGGTCCCACTGGTCCCTTGGCTATGGGGATAGGCTGACCCTCCCTGTGCTTCTGGGGCCCGGGGTGACAGGAGTGGCCTGGGGCAGGGGGTGAGGGCTCTGTGCAGAGAATGAAGCACTGGGGCCCAGCGGCTCCCAGGGCTGCCCAGCCCGTTGGTCTGCAGGAGCGGGTGGGGGGGAAGTGGACCAGTCGACTCATGGCACTTTGGAAGTTCCCCTTGGAGTGGGGATTCCTGGAGCTACAGGGCCCCTCCCTGGGGGTTTCCAGCCACGTCCCAAACTTTCCAGCTCCTTTACCGAGCAGCAGGGTGCCGGCGGGTTCAGGCACGCCCTGCCGCTGGTCCCGGTGGGTGGGGCTGGGCAGCCCTCACCTCCCTGAGCTTGGTCAACCAACACCTGGCCGAGGTGTGGATCAGCTGGGAAGAGGCTCAAACTCCCTGGTGGCCAAGCCCCGCCCAAGCCAGAGTTCCCGGGGTGGGGTGGGGTGTGTGCGTGTGTGGGGATGAGCCCGGGGGGTGCGTGGGGTCGAGCCAGGGGTGTGCGGGGACATGCAGTGCTGGGCGATGGCTGGGGGATCCCTCCTGAGAGCCATGCAGTCTGTTCCCTGCTGCTGCGAGTTCCCCCTTCTCACCCTGGTGGAGTTTGTCAGGAGCCGGTGGGGGCTCAGAGGTCTGGCTGGGGGGTTCCGTCCCTCCCCGCAGAGACCCAGCTGCTCCCCTCTGTCCCCAGAAAATCATCGGCGTCTTCAAGCCCAAGAACGAGGAGCCCTACGGGCAGCTGAACCCCAAGTGGACCAAGTGGCTGCAGAAGCTGTGCTGCCCGTGTTGCTTCGGGAGAGACTGCCTGGTGCTCAACCAGGGCTACCTGTCCGAGGCCGGCGCCAGCCTGGTGGACCAGAAACTGGAGCTCAACATTGTTCCCCGCACCAAGGTGAATTGTATGGGGGGGGGGGGGGAGGCAGTCATTGTGTGGGCTGCTTTTCCACGCCCCGCGGTTCCTGCCTTGGCTCTAGGGGGTCCCACACTGGGAGAACGGGCCCGCGCTGCGGGAAGGCCAGGTCCCACCCAGGCTCCAGCAGTTCTGCCTGTGCCCCACGCTGACCGCTGTCCCCTCCCCAGGTGGTGTATCTGGCCAGCGAGACTTTCAACTACAGTGCCATTGACCGAGTGAAGTCCAGAGGGAAAAAGCTGGCCCTGGAGAAGGTGCCAAAAGTGGGGCAACGGTTCAACCGCATCGGCCTGCCGCCAAAGGTAGGGGCTGTCGGACCCCCTCTGGGGCTGCCCCCCTCTGGGGCTGCCCTGTGTCCCCAGCCCCCTCACCTGGCCTCTCTCTGCTGCAGGTGGGCTCCTTCCAGCTCTTTGTGGAAGGCTACAAGGATGCAGATTACTGGCTGCGCCGCTTTGAGGCCGAGCCGCTCCCCGAGAACACCAACCGGCAGCTGCTGCTGCAGTTCGAGAGGCTGGTGGTGCTGGACTACATCATCAGGAACACAGGTGGGGCTGGCACCGCGCCCGCTCCCAGGAGCCCCGCAGGGAGCCGGGGAGGGCAATGGGTGGGGGCTCAGCGTATTGCTGTCCCAGGATGGGGGGAGGGTGCGGGGGACTGGCTGGGAGGTCCCAGCACATGGGGTGGGAAGATCCCTGTCACCATCTTCCCTGCTGCTTACGATGCCACTCCTGGGCTGTGCCTGTGAATGCTCCCAAACCATTCAGTCTCTAGGGGTGGTGTTTGGGGAAGCCCTAACCGGCTTCGGCCCTGGAGCCGCTTCCCAGGGTAGAGTTCCCTTTGCCAGCCACTGAGCTCCGCGAGGGACCCTCATGTGCGTGGTTCCACCCGCCCCACCTCCAATCCCTGCTGGAGTCCGCGTCCCCTCCCGTGTGCCGCGCGCACCCAGAGGGACATGCGGCTCGGGGCCCAGGGTTGCCCTGGTGCTGTTGGAGACCGTGATCCCCGTGCCCGAGCAGGGAGCTCTGCTGCTACTCCTCCCCAGGCAGATCAGGCTCCTGTAGTGACGTGGCTGGTTCTGCTCCCTGCAGATCGAGGCAACGATAACTGGCTGATCAAGTACGACTGCCCCCTGGACAGCATGAGTGTGCGGGTGAGTGTGGGGAGGGGGCTGGGCAGGGGGCGCGTAAGTCACTTGACTATTGGGCAGCAGAGGCGAGTTCTGAATGCGCTGAGGTTCTGGGTAGTCTCTCCAGTGGTGGGGAGTTCCCCAGCCCAGCCCCGTGGCTGGTTCTCGCAAGCCTCCCCTTGTGGCTGATGGCAGTGTGAGTTACAATCACCGAGGCTCTCATGGGCCCGTTCCATGGGGGTGTTGGCATAGGGACGCAGACGGTGAGCCGGGCTCAGCCAGGCAGCAGGCTGGGGACGTGTTGCTAGGTAGACTCGCTATCCCCACAACAGCAGTGTGACATGAGGGGTCGAGCTGGGGCTTGCTCGGTTTCCCAGTGGGGTGAGGGCCCCCAGCCCCTCTGCGAGGCCCCAAAGGCTGTGTGGTCCCAGCCCCAGCTGCAGGGGGGATTGGCCAATTCTTGGCACTCTCTAAGCAGGAGGGGCGCTGGGAGCCAGAAGGGACCATTGTGAGCATCTACATCTGACCTCCTGTGTAACACAGGGCAGAGACCTGCCCCGCAATAATTCCTAGAACGGAACTTCAAAAAACATCCCGTCTGGAATTAACAATGGCCGGTGATGGAGAATCCACCCCGAGCCTGGGAAGTCGTTCCAGTGGTTAATGTACCCCTCCTTTCCAGCCTCTGTCTGCTTCAACGTCCAGCCACTGGGTTGAGTGAGACCTTCTGCTAGACTGCAGAGCCCGGGGTTAAATACCTGTTCCCCAGGCAGGTGCTGGCAGACTGGGATCGAGCCATCCCTTAGCCATCTCCTTGGTTAAGCTAAATAGATCGAGCTCCTTGAGTCTGTCACTATCAGGCAGGTTTTCTAATCCTTTAATCATTCCCGTGGCTCTTCTCTGACCCCTCCAATCTACCCACATCCTTCCCGGCTTTGTGGGCACCAGAACTGGACATGAGATCCCAGCAGCTGGTCGCACCAGTGCCACGTATGGAGGTAAAATAACCTCTCTGCTCCTACTCAAGTCTCCTGTTTATGCAGCCCAGGATCGCATTCGCTCTTTTGGCCGCAGTGTCACACTGGTATCATGTTAGAAAATTAAAAATAGAACGAATGGAAGAAAGGGGAAGTTTGGTAGAAATAAATATTCATCAGAAGTTGGGAAATTGTAGAAAATTTGATAAGGGAAGTCCAAGGACACATGGAGAAATCCATGGCCAGCGGAGTGAAGGACCATGAGGAGGAGCCTGACAATGGTATTGATCCATTGACAGATGGAAATGGTGGTAGAAAGATCAATGATGCAGAAAAGGCAGAAATGTCCAATAAATATTAATGTTCTTTTGGGGACAAAAACCAAATATCCTCTCATCGTATGGAGAAAATGCTATTTCAATTCCCCTCGTATGGAGACAATGCTATTTCAATTCCCCTCGTATCTCCGGAGGGTGTTAAACAGACGCTAGTAAAGTTGGACATTTTTAAATCAGCAAGTCCGGGTAACTCGCATCCAAGAGTTTAAAAGAGCTGTCTGAGGAACTCGCTGGACCATTAATGTTGATTTTCGATATGTTATGGAGCACTGGGGAAGTTCAGATGACTGGAAGAAAGCGAACGTTGTGCCAATTTTTAGAAAGGGTAACCAGGATGACCTGGGTAATTATAGGTCTGACAGCGATCCTGGACAAGATAATGGAGTGGCTAACGCAGGACTCGGTTACTAAAGGAGGGTAATGTAATTAAAGTAGATGAGCACAGATTTATGGGAAATAGATCCAAGGATGTCTTAGAGCTGTCAGCAGGAGACCTCCAGCGCACGTCACTCAAATCGCAGTCCCCTCAATTAGGTAGCTTTTTCCTACATGTTATAGACAGGTGTGTAAGGAGCTGGTCCTCCTGTTCCCTTGTGTGATTTGAGGGTCTGTAGTAGCCATCAGCTAATACCCCATCTTGTGCCTCATCTGCTGGGACATCCATACGTAAACATTCAGGATCGGTGACTGTGAAACAGGTAATGCTGTTTTTGACATAGTGCCCCTCCCCCACCGCCCACTCGATCCTTCCTAAATAGGTTGTAACCATTGATTGATTTCAATGTCCCAGTCATGCCGGAGGTTTCAGTGAATACTGACTATATTGACTGTATTATAATAAACGAGTGATTCCAATTCCCGTTTGTTCCCAGGCTCCTAACATTCATGTAAAGGCAATTCAAGGATTTCTTCTCCATGTCCTTTGGCTCTTTAATTCTCTTCTCAACTTCTCCATTTTGTGCTGAGTGCTCAGGTCTGCCCCCTTTTTACCCAGCCCTTTGGCTATTTAACCCCCTCCTGACTAGACTGTCCCCAAGGAGACTGGTCCCCTTCTGCTGAGGTGGAGCCATCTAAAATACATAGCCCCTTCTCCCTTCAGAAGGTGGGCCAGTGTCCCACAATGCCAAACCCCTCCACCACTTACCTAGCCAGAAGCTTCTGCCTTCCTTCGCTTGTGGGACAAGAAGGATCCCAGAGAAGATCTCTCGGAAGCATGCTGAAGAATGTCCAAGTCCCCTGAAGTCCTACGCTCCGAGATCCTGCAATGCGGAGTCCAGTGCCAGCATGAGTGATCACCACTGGATCCTGGCCCAGCAGCTTCCGACGGCTGTCCAATCTCCGGGACATCTCCTGCCTTGGTTCTGGGAAGGCAACGCGTCATCCCGTTGTCTGCCTGTCCTTTGCAGAATGTTCTTTAGATTCTTCAGGGGACTGACTTCCCCACAAGGATCGTCCACCTTCCTTGGACAGTTGGAGAACTCTTTGCAGGCGAGCTTGATTTTTCGTACAGATTGGGCTGAGCTGCCATCTACGTGTCCCTTCGTTCCCCTGGACCTTGGGAGGTATCGTTCCGTTTCCATGTGGAGGACCTGGTATTGACTCAATTTCCAGCTGTTCGGCATTCCTCGTGGCCCTCTTCTGTGGTGGCCACAGTCTGACCTCCTCCTCTATCTCTAGCCCTGCAGCATGCTCCCGTGACCTGGTGGTGTCAGACCTCCTCTCGGATTCCTTAGTGGCCAGCTCCATTCGTCCTTGAACCTGTGGGACTGGGATTTTTCTGAATCGGGCTGGCTAGGAACTCCTCAGTCTCTCCGATTCTCCGGAGCGTCTCAACTTGCCCCTCCAGTCCACGTATCTTCTCTTCCAGCACAGCCACCACCTCGCCCTTCCTGCCCAGACCCTCCCTTCTGGCTCCAGACACGGAAGAGAACAGGGCACGGCTATTGCAGTTCAACACCACTCTTCATCGCTGGCCATCCTGACACACACCTAGTGCTGCACCCTGACGGTTCCTCCCCTCCCCAACTCCTCTGTTCGCTGCCACTGTCCGGGGCTCAGCTGCACCCCTGACTGCCAGGCAGTGACTAACCCCTTAGACTGCCGCCAGCTGGGCTGTTCTCATCATGCTGTGAAGCCCTCGGGTCTCTGCCAGGAGCGGGTGGGCGAGGTTCTGTGGCCTGCAATGTGCAGCGGGTCAGACCAGATCACAATGGTTCCTTCTGGCCTTGACCTCTCTGATCAAAGCGCCAAGGGCCAGAGCCTCAGGGCCTGCAGCAAGGCCCTCTGCTTCCTGCGGGGACACGGCCCCCCTGCACAGAGAACACTCAACCAAACAACCCCAGGCAGACCAGATGCACCACGGCCTGGCACTTCCAAGCACAGTTGGCCGCTCCGCCCTCCAAAAGCCCCGTTTGCCGCAGGGCAGTGGGGTCCTGTCATGCAGACCTTTCGGGGAAGGGGGAGTGCCTCTCAGCCAGTCCCCTGAGGCGACAGCCCCCCAGCCTGGGTCCTCATCCCAGATGAAAGGCTCAGCTCCTCCTAGAAATGTACACACCTAAACTGGAGTGAGACCATCTACCTTGGCGTGTCGCTGGGCCTAATGCCAGCCCTGAGCCCTTGTGCAGTGCGCTGGCTCCTGCGCGCCCGTCTTCCTGTGCAGTGCACTGGCTCCCATGTGCCTGTGCCCAGGGCAGTGCCAGCCCTGAACTCCTTGTGCAGTGCACTGGCTCTCGTGCCCGTGCCTAGGGCAATGCCAGCCCTGAGCCCTCTGTGCAGTGCGCTGGCTCCTGTGCCCAGGGCAGATGTTGGCAGTGGTGGGCGTCTGGGATGAGAGCGGAGGAGCTAGGCGGCAGCTGGCTCAGAGCAGGGGAAGTGCCCGGGGCAGGGACCGGGCTGCATGGTGGTTCCTGGGGGAGTGCTGGGCTCTGGCTCCCCTGCCCCTGGTGACTCCTGGTCGATCTGTTTCCCCTCTAGGACTCCGAGTGGGTGGTGGTGAAGGAGCCCATCATCAAACTGGCTGCCATAGACAACGGCTTGGCCTTCCCCCTGAAGCACCCCGACTCGTGGAGAGCATGTAGGTCCCTCTGCCGCGCTCCTGCTCACAAGGCTGGGGGCAGCCTGGTGCTTTGACAACTTGCCCTATGCTGGTTAGGCCTGCAGCCCTGCCGGGCGCCATGTGGCCTGGGCTTACGCTGCACTTGCTTCTGGGAGCACGGCCCTGAGGCCAGCAGCTGGGGTGGCCCCCGTTCCCCTGGGGGATGGTTCAGGGGACGAGAGGGCTCACGCTAGCACCAGGCTGTGACCCCAGTGCCCGCTGGGCCAGGGCTGTGCACATGGCTCTGACCTCAGCTCCGGCTCTTTCCCCCCAGACCCCTTCTACTGGGCATGGCTGCCCCAGGCCAAAGTCCCCTTCTCACAGGAGATCAAAGACCTGATCCTCCCAAAGGTTTCCGACCCCAACTTCGTCAAAGACCTGGAGGAGGATCTGTACGAACTCTTCAAGGTCAGGTGGGGGCTGGGGCTGGGTTGGGGGGTAGGTCTGTCACGTTGATGGGTGGGGCTGGCCTGGGTGGTGCAGTGAGACCCTTTCAGAGCTGGGGGGCTCAGCCTGCGTGGGGTGGGTTTTGCTGCATCCTGCTAGCACCTGCTTGGGGGGTCGGGGGGGGGGGGGAGGCAGAAATCCCATGCAGCAGCTGCTGTCAGGGCAGGGGTCCTGGTGCCTGGGGGGGGGTCGCGCAGCAGGGGTCTGGGTCCAGGGTCCTACTGCCTTGGGGGATGGGGGGGGTGTCTCACTGGCAGGGCCTGGGGTCCCACTGCCTGGGTGTGGGAGAGGGGTGTGTCTCTGCCTGTCCCTCACTGCCATTTCTCTTGCAGAAGGATCCTGGCTTCGACCGGGGGCAGTTCCACAAGCAGATCGCTGTCCTGAGGGGCCAGGTATGCTGGGAAGGGCCCCTCGTGGTGGGGCAGGGGCACTAGTTCCCTCTCACCCTGTGGCCAGTGCAATGTGGGACTGTCACGGAGTATTGGGGGACTCAGGGCCCTGCACCCCCGGCTTCCTGCGATTCACTTTGACTCTCAGCCAGCAAGTAGAGCAGAAGGTTTATTTGGATGAGAGGAATACAGACCAAGACATGTCTTG